CCAAAGTACTTTGGGCTTAGCTTCTCATTCTACCTCTGGGCTAATGTCTTAATCCTGTAAGGGCAAAGCTTCATAAATACTCAATTGTCAACTTTAAATTGCATGTCACGATGATGTTGATCTACTTCCTTCTTCATGTATACTTGTGCCTTAGACAAATGACTCTTCAGCAGCTCCAAGCTAACGTCCCAATCTGTTAGCATGCGGCCTACCTCATCCAAAGGGGACGTGGCTGACCTGTAGCGGTCGATGGTTGGGGCTCTCTCCTGTACACTATTTAGAATGGTGATGTCTTGATCATCTGATGAAACGACATGTTATAACTCAAGTTGACCTAGTGTAGATGTTCACTCCAGCTTGTTAGTTTGATGACTTCTGTTTGGCCGTCTGTCTTCAAGTAGTATGCAAAACTCATCTTGAGCAAGGTCCCTTGGAGTGAGTATAACTCCCTCTAGAATGTATTTATGAAGACACCCCCTCGACCTGTGACAATGGATAATGGAAAACCATGTAAGTGTACAATGTCCTTGGCGAAGACTACTGCCACGTCTATTGCTGAAAATGGGTGTTTTAGGAGAGAAATGGTTGTACTTACTAAGACTACCACTAGGATTGAGTCAAATCCTTAGACTTCAAAAGACCCTCGATGAAGTCCATAGATATATTCTGTCATATGCAGTTCAGGATGGGTAGCAGTTGAAGAAGACCTATTGGAGAAAGACATTTGGACTTGAATTAGAGACAGGTGGAGCATTAGTTGATATGTGATTTGATGTCTCATTTCATGCCCGACCAATAGAACTATTGTGAGATACGATCGTAGGTCTTTATGAACCCCATAAGGTTTGATCATGAAATTCCTCAAGCAATTTTGAGACAACTATGAATGAGCGGGGTGGACTCAATTGACCCTTGAATCTCAGCAAGTTGTTACAAAGTGTATATTGCTGATCGTCGAAAACTCCCCCTTGGATCTCCTACATAATCTTGGCTAGCTTAGAGTCAACTTGAACCTCTTGCTACACTATCTCCAAATCCAACCATGAAGAAATAGACAGCACACAACACCACCTCCTCTTTGGTGAGCAATGTAGTGCATCTATCACTAGATTTTAGCACCCTTCTTTGTAATGGATTGCAAATATAACCCATAATTTTGGCAATCCACCAATCGTATTGTGCATGACTTTTTTCTACTTGATCATATATTTCAAGCTGTATTGATCTGTTTGGATGATAAATGTCTAAAACATCAACTAGTGCTTCTATTTTTGGATTGTCATAATGATTGTCATGAGTTCTTGCTCATAGTTCAATCAGGTGCAGTTCATGGGAGAGAGAACCTTGCTATAGAATGCTATGGGGTGCCCTTGTTGCATCAAGACCACACCAACCTTGACACCTAAAGCATCAGTCTTGAGAGTAAAGGGTTGGGAGAAGTCAAGGAGTACTAGTACCGAGGTCGAGCATAAGGCCTGCTTTAACTCTTCGAAGGCTTGTTGAGTTATCTCTAACCATGCGAAGGTATCTTTCTTTGGGAGTTGAGTGAGTGGCCACGTTATCTTTGCGTAACCCTCCACAAAATGCTAGTAGTACCCAGCCAACCCCAAGAATCCCTGCAATTGCCTCAGGTTTGTTGGGGGGGAGGGGGGGCACATTTGTACATCTTGGATTTTGTTGTGGTCAGTTGCCACTCCACCCGTTGATATTCAATGCCTCAAATATTATAGCTACCCTTGATAGAAAGAGCACTTTTTGAAGTTGACCATCAACTGATGGTCCTAGAGAAGTGTCAGTATGATTTGGAGGTGAGCCTTATGATCAGTTGTTGATCGGCTTAAAATCAAGATATCTTCAAAGAAGACCAAAACTAAATGCCACAGGCATGGCTGAAAAATGAGATTCATTAGTGTCTGAAATGTAGAAGGTGCATTAGTCAATCCAAATGGCATCACCATGTACTCATATTGGCCCTCATGTGTCTAGAATGTAGTTTTCTGGAAGTCTTCCCTATGCATCCAAATCTAGTGATACCCAGACTTGAGGTCCATCTTGAAGAAGAGGTTTGCCTCGTAGAGTTCCTTCAGTAGCTCGTCGATGATCGGGATGAAAAAATGGTTGGGTACGGTGAGCTTGTTCAAGCCGAGGTGGTCCATGCAAAAATGCCACAAGTCATTTTTCTTCTTTACTAAAAGGGCTAGGATGGCGAAGGGGCTATAAGAAGGTTGAATAATCATGTGCGTCAATTGCTCTACTACTAGCTGCTCCAATGCGTTCTTCGAGGAATGTGAGTAACTATACAACCACTAGTTCACTAGTGCCGAGCCTGGTCACAAGATGATGGCCTGATCAAAGGGCTTGGGTGGTGGAAAGACAAATTCCAAGAAAGTCATATTGCGATGCTCGAACAGCTGCTCCATGGGCCTTGGTTGCTAGCACCGGCATTGTCAACACTAACATATAGTGGAGGTCTCCCATCTTAGTCATCTTCATAAGGCTTGTGGTTTTCTCTTGCCATGGTTGCTTGCTTGTCGATGGGTCCCCCCATAGCATGTGGTACACGCCTTCTACACAGAAATAGAATAGGAGGTCGTAGTTGGTGGTGATCCACTCCAGAGTATCTGAAGTTATTAGACTCTCAAGAAGATCTCCACGCCCGCATCATTTAACAAGAGAAGCACCTGTGTGACCACATACCCCTAGATCAGCATCTGCACATCATGGCACACCCTATCACCGAAGGTCATGCGGTTGTCACCCAAGGTGATGTGGTATGGTTGGGTCCTGGTCGTTGGCAGTTGCAAGCGGGCAGCAAGATGTTGGAGATATAGTTGTGTGAAGCCCCACCATCCACCATGACCGCCACCTCGCAGCCGTGGATGCTTCCCTTCATTCTGAGGGGGCTGATTGACGAGACGCCCAACATGGCGTACAGCGAGACATTCGTGCCCTCGAAGTCGTCCTTAGGATCTGGCATCTCATCATCCCCGAGTGGGGTGTTTTCCTCGTCATCAAACTATTTCGCCTCGTCCTCATCACATACCACTATGAGGTTGAGCTCTCTCTTACAATGATGGCCTAGAATGACCTTCTCATCATAGGAAAAACATAGTCCTTGCGCCTTTCATATTTAGAACTCGACGTCTGTGAGGGTCAAGCTTCTTTGTGGACCCCATGGTGGACACCCTCCATGCACTTCTTGAGTGCTAGAGACTTTGGGGCTGAGCCCCTTGGTCTTGGGAGTAGGTGGGTAGATGTGCAGTTGTTGACCCCTTCATCATCAAAACTTGGCTTCAGCTTGTCGAGCACACTTTAGGGACACCTTGATGGAGGCAGGTTTGGCCCGTACACCTCAGTGAGGGTGTCTTCTCGAAGCGTATTGGCGAACACTGTTTTGAGCACTTCACGGTCTGTGTGGGCCAAGAAACCTGTTGTCTCTTCAAACTAGATGATCAGCTCCTCGACTGTGCCCGTCTGCTTCAGAGCCATCGGCTGGGCCAGGGGGGGCAGTTGTGGGGGGGCCAAACCATTCGGAGAGCTGCATGGTGAAGTCATGCCAACTTGTGAACCCTTCAATATGGCTCTAGTAATGGAACCATGATAATGATGTACCTTCGAGGTGGGTGATGACGAGGTGCAGCCGATCTCATTCCTCGGTGGGGTTGAGTTCAAAGAACTGGTTGGCACGCATGAGCCACCAATTGGAGTCACCTCCCAAAAATGCGGGCGTGCTTCACGTTGAGGTTTGTCAGGGCCTTGTTGTGTTCGCTGCCTGAATCTTCTTCATAGCCACCCTGGTGTTCCTCCTATTGCATATCCTTCATTAGATCTATGGGAAGAGGTCTGATGTGATGTAAAGACGACTGCTTTTCAGCACCACGACCCCACCCTCGGCCCCATGGCTGGACGTCGTGGAGGCGCGGTGGTGGCGGGGTGCGACGGTCTTCCTAGCCTTGGACCCAAACCAAGGGGGGGGGCTCCTCTTCCTCGCAGAGTCAATGGGCCGATGTTAGGTCAGGAACTTGGGGCGGAGATGGGCCCGCAGTTTTGCTGAGGCAAGGCGGGGCCCATGTCTGCCTTGGGGTTGCTTGTGGTACCCCATCCAATGTTGGGACTGGTTTGACTGCCCACCACTCGGAAGTGGTTACTCCACGATGCGGAAGGCTGGCCTGCATGCCTCTCAAGTATAGAGTGGTATGGTGGTATAATCTATTGACGTGGGGTGGTGTGGTGGTGCTCTGTAGGACGTCCCATCAGTTATGGCCAACATCGACTCACAAGGCAGTTGCCGGGCTGGCAACGGGGGCAGCGGTGCCTGGACGGGCAGAGGGAGAAGGCCCCAGTAGTGGGGTTGCAATGGTTCCCCAGACTCTGAGGTGTTAGATCGATGGTGCTCGGAGTGGCATGTGGTTGATTTGGATGTCGATGCACTGGAGGCACTGTGGGAGTGCGACGAGCGGCTCCTAGAGGATCCCTTGGACACGGCAGCGTGGGCGGCCAGAGTGGCGAGGGAGGCTTGGACGTCAGTGAGCTGGGCAGCAACCGCCTGGACTGCAGCCTAGTTAGTGGCTTGGGCGGCAGCAATGTGGTATGCCTTGGCTTGGGCTGTGGCCGCAGCTTGGGCGGTAGTGACTTGGTCGGTCATCAGGGCCTAGATCATGTCTTTGATCTTGATGCCGAACTGGTCCATGAGAGCGGTTTTGTAACTTGTGATTATGCAACGGCAGTGGTGGGAGGGCAGCTCTAATACCAAATGATGGAGTCCTAATGAACTCCAAAACTCCACCGAAGTCTAGATGGTTTTCTCACAAGAGAGAGAGAGAGAGAGAGAGAAGACGGGATCCACAAGATAAGAATAGTCCAAGGATAGGGATGGCATCGCTCTACAACGTCACCGGGGAAGGGAAACCTGGACAGAAATAGGAGAGGGAAGGTTAGGAAATCCCTTCTATGGAGAGACAACGAGGGTCACATAGCGGTTTCTAACTGCTGATCAATCCTTAATTCTGGTATTTATACCAGACTGGGAGCGATCCTGGGCCTCTCATTTTTGGGTTGGCACCCATACTTATTGGGCTGGTGCCTGACATACCATACCTTCGGTATGTCATCAAGTTGCAAGCTAGCTCGACATCATTTCATTTAATTAATGTAATACAATATTCAATGACATATCCTTACAAGTAACTAATGCTTTGTGTGAGCAGAAAATGATTTTTTTCTCATGCACTGCACTTTTTTGCTGCGTAACTAATATGTGTAGGTTGTGAGAAATGACCTACTTTTCTTTGAGGATGCATCATACAAACGAGATCTAGCATCGACTTTTGATCTTGTGACACGAGACTTGGTGGAGAGGATTGAGAGAGAGCCCAATGCAGTAAATTCCTCTACCTGTCTCTTCACTACTGTCATAGTTTCCATTCCACGCTTTTCTAACAAATTTTCTCCCCTCTTCAAGGGCCCTTGATGTGTGCAATTGCCTAATAATATCCTTGGAAGTAGGTCCCAAGATCCTATTTTTCATATCCATATGATCATTATCTTCATGCATAGATCATCCAACGAGGGGTGGGTTCTTGTCAATGTGCCTCTAGATGATGAAGGTGGCTCGATAATGTCTTCACCCCCAAGATAAGTACCTACAATCTACAATAACTTTCCTCAACTGCTGCCTTTGTGGGTTGACCCCACCACACCATGAATGGCAAGACTCTCTAAGAGAGAACCATCACCAATCTGTGTTTCTTTATTTCTTCAAGTCATCATCTCTCACATGAGCAAAAATCAATTGTTGGGGGGTGGTTTCCAGTCAGCTAAATGTTGAGATCTTAGTCGTCAGCTTTCACCCATGTAGGAAAAATCGTCCATGATACAGCCCAAACACCTCGATTATCAATTGATGGACAGGCCAAGGATAGAAGCCAAGAACCAGCCTAGTATTAGGCATGGTTGGTTGGAAGCTAAGGAATTAGAGGTGATGATAGATAGAGATGAGGGTAGCAATCCAATGGCCATCAGAAGGCAGTGTGACCATTGAAGATTAGAAGAAAACGATCTAGGTCTATAAGAAGACACCAAAGGAAAAGAATAGGGCATTAAGCATTTTTACTTTTTGCATGAGGTGAAAGGAGAGTGGTTATCTTAGATGTACTTGAGTGTTCCGAAGTGGCTTTCTCAAGTTATCTTCTTTTGTTTTCTTTGTCATCCTTATTGATAAGTTTTCATTATCATGAGTTAATAATTAGTAAATAATATAATTTTAGCCTTAACTCATGATAAATAGACTTATAGTTGTGTTAAATTATAAAAAAATAATTTTTAGTTGATTAATATGATTTTTTATAAATTTATATGATTTTTATAGACCTATTTTTTAGATAAATGAAGAAAAAGAAATTAAAATAATAATATAGCAAAAGGGAGGGACTCACTGGCCAACTGGGCCCGCAAGTGGGTCAGAAGCGTAGTTGGGGGGAGCCGCGAGCAAGGGCTCGAGCAGCTAAGACCGATGGGGGCATGTGTGCACCACTCACTTTTTATGTCACCAGTGACTAATCGGCTATAAGACAAGAAGTGGTCGTACACATGGGAGAAAGGGACTCATTGCTTATAAATGTGATATTACTATATATTTGTCCAAAACTTCAACACACAAGCCATATGGGATTAAACTTGCATCACATTTTCCCCTGAAAGACTTCAAAGATTTTAATACTTAAACCTTCATTATAACAAAGATATACCATGATGACGTCACTTGATAAGGGTATTAGATTACTTTTTAACCTCTCTCATGTAAGCAGACAATCAGCACGAGTTCGAATCCTCTTAAAGTCAAAACTCATATTTTTATCTACTTATCACGACTTTCTTACAGATCGTCGGTTCGTATTTTTAAGCCGTCAGAATCACTAGATCATCGGCAAAAATCTCGTCAACGTGATTCACAAAGTATTGTTACTAAAATTGTTGAACAATTCCTGATAAAGGATCTTAAAGTTATCGAGTAAATCATCTCTAATTGATCGACGAACAAGTCGTCGTCTAGAAGAAGACAATCCGTTGGGAGACGAGTTGCCACTTCTTGAGAACATACCAGATGCGATGAAGAGCCTCCTCTTACTGTGCAGACATGAGGATGAAGTTTCTTGACACGCGCCCCACCTCTACCCAGCTCCTCTCCGTCGGGTGACAGTTGTCGAAGAGCCACAAAGTCGTTGTTTTTTCGCTTCACCAGGTGACAGCCGCCGGAGACGATTTGACAACCCATTTCATTGGTCTCTAGACTTTGCAACGAAATCTAGAGATTGTCCACGTTGTCCTTGTCCAAGGAGAGCCTTCAAAGCCGTGGACACTACACGACGATCGTCCCAAATGTTCAAGATTCCGGTGCATCGTTGATGCATCGCCGCTGTGATGTCAGAATTTTATTTTTCTTGCTTTTAACTTAATTTTTACTTTGTTTAGTAATAATTTGTGTCATTTTAATTTACCAAGTTATGCTTCATTTAATTACGATTCTTCTAGCTTTTACTGATCTTAATTTGATCAATTAAATTATTTATAATCACTTATGTAAGAATCGCTGAGTGGAACTCTATTTCTGCTTGATTCACATTCGTTGGGTGTTGATGTCCTCCTGACGTCTATACTATGTCCTTTTTCACAAATTTTAAATATATTTTATTTTTATTTTTTAGTATAAAATTTATAAAAAAAATCATATTCTTTGAGAAAAATTTTAAAAAAATATCCGATATTATATTACATCTTTTTTATCGATCTAAAAAATTATCACTATTTTTGGAAGTTTATTAAATTATAATTGATATATTTGTTCAGAAATACTACTTGATTAGTATTTTCTAGTTTTATAAATTTTAAATTTATGTGATTTACTATACAATGACTAAGTCACGTCACTTATCCATCTTTTTCTCTTTGGACTTTCAATCATGTTAAAATAAGCCCACTAGGCCCACTATACTCATTTTTGATTTATTCTCTCCACATCTCTATTCTTCCTTCACTATCTTCTCTTCTTCTTCTATCTCTCTTTCTTCATTTCTTCTATACAACCTCATGTACTCCTCTTCTTCAAAATATCAATTCTAAGGTTTTCTTTTTCTCTTATTAATATAATATCAAAGTCAGGTTTTTTATGCCACTATTGCTCTGTCTCCTTGACGTGACTCAGTCATTGTATAGTAAATCACGTAAATTTAAATTTTATAAAACTAGAAAATATAAATTTTCAGATATTTAGAAGTATTTCTGAAAAAATATATCAAGTATAATTTAATAAAACTTCCAAAAATAGCGATAATTTTCTAAGTCGATCACTAAGATGTAATATAATATCTGGTAATTATTCAGAATTTTCCTCAAATAATACTATTTTTTATAAATTTTATACTAAGAAATGAAAAGAAAATATATTTAAAATTCACGAAAAAGGGAAATAAGGGTGCGGGCGTCAGGATGACGTTAGCGCTCAGCGAATGCAAATCGGGCAGAAACAGAGTTCCGCCCGGCGATTCTTACGTAAGCGATTACAAACGATGTAATTGATCAAATTAAGATCTATAAAAGCCAGAAGAATCATAATGGAATGAAGTATATCTTGGTAAATTTAAAATCAAAAAATTATCACTAAATGAAATAAAAATTAAGTTGAAAGCAAGAAAATAGAGTTCCAGCATTCCGGCGGCGATGCGTCGACGATGCATCAAAATCTTGAGCATTCAGGAGGATCGTTGTGCAATGTCTATAGCCTCGAAGTGCCCACTATCCACCAGGCCCATTTTGGACATATTCTCTCCACATTCTTATTCTTCATCCACCATCTCTATATTTTTTTTCTCTTTCTTTCATTTTGTCTTCTATATAACCTCATGTACTTATTTTCTTCAAGATATCAATTCTAGGGTTTCTCTTTTTCTTGTCAACAAATTATAAGAGTTCACCCATGTGTTCTTACACCTTTACTCATAGAGACATGAGTAGAGATTACTTAATAATTTTTTTAATTTTTCCTATTCTTTCTATTTTGAAATTGATAGTTGATAAGTCTTCATTATCATGAGTTAATAATTAGTAAATAATATAGTTTTAGTCTTAACTCGTGATAAATAGACTTATCTTTATGTTAAAGTGTGAAAAGTGGTTTTTCAGTTGATTAATGTGATTTTTTGGGTAATTATATGATTTTATACGAATTTATATGATTTTTACAGTCTTACTTTTGAGATAAATGAAGAAAAAGAAATAAAACTAAAAATATTGCAAAATGGGGGGACCCGCCGGCCAGCCGGGCCTACAAGCAGGTTGGAAGCACAGTCGGGGAGTAGCCACGAGCAGGGGCTCGAGCGGCTTGAACCGATGATGTGGGCACGTGTGCGCCACTCCCCTTCCATCGTCACTGGTGGCTAGCCGGCTATGGGGCAAGGAGTGGTCGTACACGCGCGCTTGATCGCGAATGTAATATTACTTTATATTCGCCAGAAACTTTGGCGCACAACCGATGTGGGACTAAACCCCCTGTCACCTTCCCTAGAAAGGGTGGGCAACCGGCACGGGTTCGAATCCTCCCAAAGTCAAAACTCATATTTTTATATGATTATCACGACTTTCCTGCAGATCGCCGATGAAGGATTAAGCAACCAAAATCACTGGATCATCGGCGAAAATCTCGTCAACGCGATTCGGGGAACATTGTTACTAAAATTTCTGAAGGATTCGCGATAAAAGGATCGCGAATCCATCGAGTAAATCATCTCCGATTGATCGACGAACAAGCCGTCGTTGGGAAGAGGACGATCCGTCGGGAGACGAGTCGCCACCTCCTGAGAGCATACCAGATGCGATGAAGAGCCTCCTCTTGTTGTGCGGACCTGAGGATGAAGCTCCCTGAGACGCGCCCCACCTCCATCCAGCTCCTCTCCATCAAGTGACAGCCGCCGAAGAGTCGCAAAGTCGTCGTTTTTCCACTCTGCCGGGTGACAGCCGCCGGAGACGACTTGATGACCCATTTCATTAATCTCTAGACTTCGCAAGGAGATCTAAAGATTGCCCACATCGTCCTTGTCTAAGGAGAGCCTTCGAGGCC